ATCTTTTCATATGTCTATTAACCTTCAGCTCTTATCATCTTTTTTTTCTTCTGTTTTCAAGGATAGAGAGAAGGAATAGAGAGAGAAAGACGATCACGTAGTATTGAAATAGACAACAGGAGTGTCATTTAAAAAAGATGTTCATCACTTCTCTCAGTATATACTGAGCTTTCGAACGATTTTCGACGCAGTAAACTGAGAATCTATTTGATAATTCGAAGGTATCATGCAGTGCTTGGTCCTTATCTCAAAGATATACCGGCTGAATCATGGGCAATTGTGCAACGAGAGAAGGCAGCTGACATGATTCATGTGCTCGATTTTCCATATAACGGCGAGCCACCTCGTAATAAACTCATGCAAAACAAAATGACTCCAAACGAGGTATTTTGAAGTTGTCCGTTCCTAGTAGATGTCTTAATCTAGTACTATTTTAGTATCATTTTGTACGAAATCATGGTGGTATTCCTACTATTGACAAAACGGCATTTACATTAACTATTGGAGGACTGGTCAACAAACCACAGATATTGACGTTAGCTGATCTACAAGATCCCAAGAAGTTCGAACCTGTTGAAGTAACGGTCACTCTTCAAGTATGTTGTTCTAGAAATACTTTTAAAAGTTTTGCACAAAATATGTATGCCATGCATAATTCTTAAAAAAGTTATTCTATTTACCTAGTGTTCTGGAACACGTCGTATCGAACAAATTCATGAATATCCTGGAGAAGGTGATGAACTGATCAATGCTCCATGGGGCGAAGGTGCCATTGGTACAGCTCGCTATCGAGGTGTATCCCTTAAAAAGGTCCTCAAGTATTGTGGCGGCATGCAGGATGAAGCGTGACATATCGAATTCATTGGAGCGGACACATATTTCAAGAAGTTGAACGTGTTCAATTATGCCGTAAGTGTTCCACGTCGAAAAGTAGAAGCTCTCAATGAGGTGTTACTTGTCTGGGAAATGAATGGTGAACCATTACCAGCTATTCATGGAGCACCACTTCGAGTGGTGGTCACAGGTTTTATTGGAGCAAGATCATGTAAATGGGTATTAAGAGTCAATGTTCTCAACGAACCATCACGCGGTCCTGTACAACAACAAGAATATCTTTATTATGGACCACAGATTGGAAAGCAGAACGCTCTCTTTTCCAATGGATTTTCTATTCAAGAGATGCCTGTAGGTTCGGCAATCATGACTCCAAATGACAAACAAGTGGTGGTGCATCAGGGCAAGATTGAAATGACTGGATGGGCTTATTCAGGTGGAGGTAGATGGATAGAAAGAGTTGATGTTTCAGCTGATGGAGGACATACCTGGTAAGAGACAGTATATATATATATTGTAATAGACTGAATCTTCTTTCTCTCTTGTTAGGCTTCAATGTGATCCAGATGATATGACGGAAAAGTAAGTAGACAATATAGTATCTACTGTTTTTTTTCTTCTTTGATTTATTTGAAGATGAAAATCTATTTAAATCGAATCCATAATATTTTTTCTTTTTTAGGCATTATCACGCATGGAGATTATGGAAGATCACACTGCCTGTGCTCGCCGAAGGTTGGCTCGAGTTGGTTGTTCGAGCGTTTGATAATGCATGCAACACACAACCTACTTATGTACGCAGCGTTTGGAACTGGGACTTACATGTAACAAGTTCAGCGCACCGCATTAAAATCTATTCCGTCAATGCATCGAATCCGGCAACTGCCAAACGATTACGTCAAATTGAAGAAAACGGCGATTCATTAGAACCTATTACACGTCCTCTTATGTTTCGTATTGAGAGCGAGGAGCATTATGACAAGAACGTCAAGAAACATAAACGAGAACCAGAAGAATAAAGTCTTGGTTTCCAGTTCATCGAGATTTTTTTAATTAAATTATCAGATTCTCTACTAGAAGAACTTTTAGAAGTAGCTTGACATTGTAAAACACCAATCGGATCAAATTTGTTTTTTTTTGTAATTTAACTACTTATGCTTTCATTTTTGATTTTGTATTACTACTACTTTTATGAAAACAATGTAAACGAACTTGTAAGATTAAATATAATATTAAACTATTTAAAAATTGATTAATATAAGAAAAACTGTCTCAGCTGTATCTTAATAAGGATTATCTAATTTTATTTGATATATCGATGAGATACTATGTGTTTGCGAACCTGCATCGTTCAATAATCGATCTCGGAAACTGTAATTACGAGTGCTCCAAATGGCGTGTTATATATTCATTGAAATTATTCTTTAATGTAATTTGTGTTGTCAATAAATATGCTTACGTTATTGTAAACTGCTCTTTATTTTATTCTGCTTTAAAATGTATTAAATTTCACTTTTTTTGCTTGATATCTGATGTCGTTGGTTATTGTATCACTGCAAAAAAAAACTGAGGTTTTTTTGATCGTTTAGTTTTACAAGAAAAGATTTCATCAAACAATAATTTTTAATTTAAAAGTAATGATATATTCATGCATTTGTATGCAGATTAAGAATTAAATGTTATGATAAATCTGATGCATACTTATTTAGAACATAAATCTCTATCATCTGCATAATGATCAAAAAACACGTTGTCAACTTATACAATTCATCAAATATTTGATCATACAAAAGAAGGCTTTTTTTCATTTGCACTTCTCAAATAACAGCAATAACTCAACAATGTTTTTCACTGAGAAAAGAAATAAAATTATTCTTTTTCACGGAATATTTCGATATTTGTTAATCATAGCAATAGCAAAAAAAACAGTCAAAGAAAAAAACAACACTTTGAAGGAAGTAGACACCTATAAAATGAGTCGTTTTTGATCGTTACTACATTAGTAAACCTTAAACAGTAATTACAATTCAAAGCATTCACGCAGTCAATAATGGGCAAGGGACAATCAACATCATCTATTAAATATGATGCTACGACAAATGCATCTGCAGTTCTAAAAGGTGCAGAAGGTCGTCAACGTATCAATATCCAACAGATGCAAAATGTTCTTATAATCTGGTTAGACAGTAATATTGATGAAACAAAAAAGGATTGCCAAAATACAATTAAAAAATTACGAAGTGCTGTTAACGACATTAATACATTTACAGATGGTGATCAATGCCTTGAATTCATTAAAACCATCGTCAATAACAAAGTATGTATCATTGTATCGGGATTACTTGGACAGCATATTATGCCTCGTGTACACAATATGTCTCAAGTGGATTCAATCTTTATTTTTTGTGGCAATATAAACCATCATGAAGAATGGGTCAAAGATTGGCCAAAAATAAAGGGTATCTTCACACATATTATACCCATCTGTGAGGCACTCAAAGAGACTGCTCATCAATGTGAGCAGAATGCCATTCCCATGAGTTTCGTGGGATCAAATAAAAATTTGGATCAATTAGATCCTTCTTTTATGTACACCCAAATCATCAAAGAAATATTGCTCACCATCAAATTCAACCAGCAGCACGTCCAAGATTATATTAATTGCTGTCGCGATGATTTTGCCGATAATGAAGAAGAAATGGTTAATATTAAACGATTTGAAGATGAATACCATAGCGAAACACCAATTTATTGGTACACCTGTGACATGTTCTTATATCCCATGCTGAATCGTGCATTACGACTGATGGATGGTGATATCATTACACGGATGGGCTTCTTCATTGGTGATTTGCATAGAAATATTGAACAACTACACCAGAAACAATATCTTGGTAGAACTGCTGCTAACACTTTCACCGTTTATCGGGGCCAAAGTTTATCTACAGAAGATTTTGAAAAACTGAGCATAGTTAAAGGTGGTCTTATTTCATTCAATAATTTCTTATCTACTAGTAAAGATCGCAATATATCAGAACGTTTTGCTCAACGTGCTACCGTGAATCCAGATCAAGTTGATATACTTTTCATCATGAAGATTGATCCTACTCTACCAACAACACCATTTGCCTCCATTGCTGATATTAGTGAGTTCCAGAGTGAAGAAGAAGTCTTATTTTCGATGCATAGTGTTTTTCGTGTTCATGATATTAAACAGATGGGTGAAAATAATCGCTCGTGCGAAATTAATTTAACACTTACTGCTGACAACGACCCAGAATTCAAGAGACTTACAGATTATATTCGACAAGAGAGTTATCCAGATGCTGAAGGATGGGCACGATTAGGGTTGGTACTATGGAAAATGGGTCAATTTGACACAGCTGAAAATATTTATCATATTTTGGTTGATCAAACAAAGGATGATAAAGACAAGGCACCTCTTTATGATCAACTTGGTTCGATAAAAAGAGATCAAGGAAAATATGAAGAAGCACTTACATTCTATGAAAAATCACTTGCTATCGATCAAAAAACACTTCCTTCCAATCATCCTAATTTAGCTATATCCTATAACAACATTGGTTTGGTTCATAAAAATATGGGTAATTATCCAAAAGCACTTTCATCTCACGAAAAAGCCCTTGAAATCAAACAACAATCACTGCCTCCCAATCATCCTAATTTGGCTATATCCTATAACAACATTGGTATAGTGTATAAAAACATGGGTAACTATACAAAAGCACTTTTTTACTACGAAAAAGACCTTGAAATCAGTAAACAATCACTTCCTGCTAATCATCCTGATTTGGCTGGTTCCTACAACAATATTGGTGCAATGCATGAAGACATGGGTGACTACTCAACAGCCCGTACATTTTATGAAGATGCTGTACAAATTGCACAACAATCATTACCCTCAGATCATCCCGATATTCGATTATATAGAAATAATCTCAAAGACGTACAAAACAGATAATAAACTGTATTGCTATGAATTTTATTTTATAAAGTAGATAAAATAAATTTTTTAAACGACAAAAGAATTATTTTAAATACGCACGGGTACAGAGAAACTCTAATCTTATTGAGACATAAATGAGTAGTGACACTCATTGATAAGGCAAAGAATACATATACACAAGTTTCTTATCTTTGGAGACACGTGAATGTAGATATGACGAGTGAATTCTTTTTTATTGAAAATATCAGTTACCATTTTTGCCCTATGCGAGAACCCAGAAAAGTAATTCAAGAAATGTTTTGTTTCTTCTATATTATTTAAACGATGAATGAGTCTTTGAAACTGTTTTATTGAATACGACTTCGTTTTTGAGATTGGACCATGGTGTTGCATTTTCTTTGACTGCTTCGGATTAAAGTTCGACTTGTTCTGAGTTCAAATGATGTGAATAATCATACATTTCATTCTTTTTAGGTGAATTCATTGGACAATCAACAATTGGAATAGAAATAGTTGATAGACGATTGAAATCAGATTCATCGGTAGAGTCGAAAAATTAGTTAGAATTATTTTATTCCATTGAATAAAGAGAATCTTGTAAAATATTGTTTCAAGTGTTATGTTATTGATCTAAAGTTGTAGTCAAAGAAAGTTACAAGAGTGAATGACTTAATTGAAAATATAAAATTTTGTATTTTCAAGTATCGTTTGAAAAAGAAAAGCGCTTCTCCAACTGTTTGATTTCAGTTTATTAGAAATAAAGCAAGCATTTGATATATGATTTATAAAACATATTAGCCTGCAAAAGTTGATAAAAGGAAAAAAAATATTAGAAAGAAGTTTCATTATTTGATAGTGTAACATTCTCTTCGTAACTTCAATAGGCAACAAAACAATTCATTCTCGTACTTCTATTTTAGGAAACAGTTCAAAGATATAGCTATTTTCGTCTTGATAGTTTGTAGTTAGGTTATAAAATTAAAAATAGTTTCTTTTTCTACAATATCTTTTCAAATCTCTGTTTGATAATCATTACAGTGAAGGTGTTGAACTTAAGTCCATTTTTAATTAAAAATGTTCTTTTTTGTCTTCTAAAGAATATAACTTATTTAATGTCTAGATATATTTTCATTCTCAGTTGATGAAAACATTCAGTCGTGTTCATAACAACAGGTTGTCTATTTATTAATGAACGATTATTAATTTTATAATTCTAGTTGTTTAACAAGTTTTTCAGTGATTTATTTAGGTGATATGAATCTTTAAACAATACACCATACAGTAGTCGACAAAATCTATTGTGATGTCCAAACTGAATTTCAAAAATTGTAATATAGTGACATGATTAATGCAAGAGCTGTTGAAGAAGAATTTGTTTTCGTAACAAGATGAAAATCAGGATAAATTTCAAACTTTTGTTGGAGAATTTTTAGGGTGGGTATGGTTCTGGATATGAGTGTGGGTGTGAGATAAGAATAACACCTACACTTGACATTCACGATACAAATAATTATGGGTCGATGTTTGAACAGCACCTTAAATTGTGTATCAATACGTGTTAAGTTCGCTGTCACTCGATCACCTTGTTTTTGATCAATTGTATGTAAATTATTACCTATTAATTGAAAAGAGGATGGATGATTTTCATAGACCATATGCATTTCGATAGCATATTAACTACTTTACGAAGAATTGGTCTCAAATGATGTTCACTAGAATTAGACCCTTTTCACCAATCGTTGCGAAGTGTTTGCAATAGTTTGAAAGATGATAATTCTTCACTTTGGTCTTCTGCATCAGAAGTTCCATTAAGTTGTATTTCATTCTTACTTAAATCAATTGAATACGTTGCAGGTGTTGTAACATTTTGTTTTACTCATTCTTGCATTAAACGCGTTTGATCATAAAGACCTATGTACAAAAGGAAACTACTTTATTATGAATCATTTTTCATTTCATATTTTCTTATTTATATATCAAAAACAAAGAAATTGTTTTAATATAATCTGACTTGTGTGGTGAATGCTGCAATTGAAATTGATTGATAAAAAAAGGTTGATACACTAACAGTAAAATGTAAAAAAGATGCAATATTTGTAAAACTTACTGTTTTGCATGGTGGTAATTCAGTAAGAGTTGGGCACCAGGTGAAAAATACTCGACCGTATACACCGTCTTGTTCGTTTGTTTCATAAAAACGTTGTAGCATATGAGCCGTTTTGATTGCAATACTGGCGACAAACATATTAAATAGTGCTAATGGACAATCTATTTTCATTTGAGATACACCTGTTCCTCTGATAAATCCCTTAAAAATACCGTCGAATGCATCGCAAAATAAACTGACACCAGCTGATATTTCATTTCTTCCTTGATCATAATAGCCGAGTTTACTTAACGCAACATCACCATCCGAAGGTAATAGAAGAGTATTAACTTTAGACAAATTATTTCAAAACAACCATAGAATAACCATTAATAATTGTTTTTTTTTCGGTTTATTTATATTGTTATCACTGTCACCATCCGAATCTTGTTTTGAAGTAGAATATCGACCAGGAAACATTTCATTGGCGGTTTGAAATCTTGAGGGTGTGGGTGTGGATATTCTATTCTTTCAACACCCACATCCGTTCCCCATTAGCTCATGTTTTCATATAGAAAAGATCGACATTTATTTATAAGAAAAATTCCATAGCTATTGGTTTTTATTCATCTAATAAACGAATAGTATAAGGTATTTGTTGTAAACGTTGCATGCGTATATTAGCAAATAATTGAAAACAATTTTCTGAATGAGAATAATTGTAATTAAGAATTGACCAATCAATATTTAATCGATATGATAATAATTGATAATTCATTTCAAAATAATTGCGTGATAAGGATGTTACAGTTAAATCAGAATTGATCGTTAATTTACACGAAGATTGTTTGTTCCATTGCATTTGATAACGTCGAAATAATTGTTCGTTGGATAATAAATGAATTGGTACATTAACCAATAATAAATCTGTATGATTATTATAAATTGATTTACGAAATGCAGCTAAAAGTGTTACACGATCTTGATTTTGTGTATTAATTGTTCGTGATACATAATCTTTAGCTGTTGTAGAAGCCATATTGGTAGTTGTTGTTGATGTTAAACAGGATGTGAGTGCGGGTGTGACATAGTCTTGTGCTCATCCACATCCACGTCTCACACCCACACCTCAACAAGTTTCTCCAGTCATAAAATAGATAAATATTCGATTTCTTTTATTTGATGAGAAAACCCTGTTTATTTTGTTTTATATCACATTAGTATTAGATTTCTTTATATTAAAATATAGATGTATTTCATTTTTTTGATTTTAGATTATTATATTCTATTGATCGATAAATAGTAGAAATATCCATGTTGATATGTAAATATTTATAGTATTTTTTTTACGTTTCTTACAATCTATGCATCCATATGCAGTAGATATATATATATGTATTTATAAAACTCTATTTTCTTTAGATCGGGATCATCTATTGTTTAATGAGGACTGGGTTTATTTCTTTGAAGAGATAAACACTTTTTTTCGATTGTCGGTCGTTGTATTTTATTTATCGATGAGGGTGAGGGTGTAGGTGTCGCTATGCGATGAACAAAATACTCATATATCCACACTCACACCTTGTTCTATATTACCTTTTATCCTCATAATATTTCACATCGTTAAATTTCATATCTTTTCGTTCGTTCGTCTCGATCTATTGCCTTTTTTCTGAGCATTATTTTTGTTTCATTTTCAATCTCACTATTAAGACGCTATGGAGCACATCTCATTTCAACAGAGAGCGTGTGCCGATACGTATGAAGACGGTTTTATAGCATCCATCATCTCTCCTTACTGATATAGCAAAGATTTATTCTTCTTCATGAGATACATGTAGTTATCGGACATACTTCATCCACACTCACCTCTTCATACTTTTCAAACAAAAATAACCGATTTTGTCTTTTCTGTTTAATTTTTTTACTATTCTGTGTTACCTTTTATCCTCATAATATCTCACATCGTTAAATTTTACATCTTTTCGTTCGTTTGTCTCGGTCCATTGACTTTCTTTTATACATTTTTTTGTTGTGGGTCCCATTTTACATGTATGATGTCAGGAAGTGCCTTTGATTCTAGAAACCACATGTATTAAAAAGTATAGAGACTAGTTTATACGTTCCATTTATCTCTTCTAACTGATATAGCAAAGATTTATTCTTGTTCATGAGATACACGTAGTTATCGGACATACATAATCCGCACTCATCTCTCCATACTTTTCAAACGAAAATTAGGGATTTCGTCTTTTTTTTTTCCTTTTTTCTTGAGGATGCTTGAGGATCTGGGCGATTGGAGTTGTCGCCATCTATGATGACGTGTGTAAGATATATATGATACACTCTCATTTCTCCCTCCGCCACATTCTGTCGACAAGTGCGCAAGCTAATTGACATCCGCATCCATACTCATACCCACCCATACCACACACTCAAACTCACGTTATCTAGTGAAGAATAAATAGTGTAGTTATAAGACCACCAAGGCCGTTCTTCAGCTCCTTATTATCTATTCTTTATAGCATACACACTCATATTTACGCAGTGCACACTGATAACAAACGGTAACTTGCTTCTTTTTTATATTTTAAAAGCTTCAACAAGAAAATTTATTTACTGTGTTGTTTGCTTACATTTATACGTAAGTATGAAATAGTGTGTAATATAATCAATATTTCTAACAATCTTACATAATAATTTCTTGGAGGGAAACGAAATATAAATCATAAAGCACGGGTGTGAGTGTGAATGTGACTTGGGAATAATACTCTCACCCACATCCACACCCCTCTGATTATTAATGTACGGAATAAACTAATGTTTGTTTTATTTGATAGGTGAATACGTGTCCGAATCAAAAATTATGGGTTCATCATCAATAGTGAATTCATGGACAGAATGGGGTACATTAGAACTTATATGCGTAGGCACAGCTGAAGGTATGTGCTATCCCGATGAAACTCCTTCGTACCCATGGCATACGGGATCCTCTAATATGCGTCCGTATATTCGTGCAATTTCTGGTCGACGACCTCGTCGTTGTATCGACCAAGCACAAGCTCAGTTGGACAATCTTACCGAATTACTCCGGGCTGAATCGATCGTAGTTGCAAACTCTATGGATGAAATATTCGACAACAATATCGCACAAGTTATGACTCGAAAACAATCATCAATAGGTCCTAATACATTAGAAAATACTAATGGGAAAATTATCCAGAAGAGCAAGATTGATGTGTGCCGACCATTAAAGGCATCGGAGGAGGAGCCGCTTTGTTTTAATCATCAGCTATCTACACCACATTTCAAATCTCAATATCAGTTTGGTCTAGCATGTCCACGGGATGTTTTGATTACGCTAGGTGACACAGTGTTAGAAGCACCGACATCTGTTCACACCAGATATTTTGAATCTGAATATTATAAACCACTTCTTTATTCATTATGGAAACGTGATTCGAATATGAAATGGCTTCAACCACCAAAACCAACATGTTCACCAATAAAAATGTTCCATGACGTGGATTTCTGGGAAAAACTAAATACAAAGGATTATAATAAAATAACTTTTGCTAACAGTGGTTATAAGACAAATCTAAATGAAAATGAAATTGCTTTTGATGCTGCTGATATGATGCGTATGGGAAAGGATGTGTTCTATAAAAAATCTGCATCAGCAAATAATGAAGGTTTATATTGGCTACGTCGTACATTTCCTCATCTTCGTTTTCACATGTTGCATTTTCCAACTGATGGTAGTTATCACTTGGATGCTTCTCTCGTACCATTACGACCGCCAACGTCAGGCTCACATGGTCTTGTACTTATTAATCAAGATTATCCGCCATTAGCAAGTGAAATGAAGCTGTTCACTGATAACGATTAGCGTCCAATATGGGCACCTTTATATTCGACCAAAGAGGTGCCACCACTCGCATTGTGCACAAGTAACCTTCATATGAATTTACTTTCACTCAGTGACCGTTGTGTAGTAATCGAAGAATGTGAAACGGCACTCTACCGACTATTACATGATGAGCTTGGATTCGATGTTATTACATGTCCTCTTCGAGTACTTAATGAATTTGGCGGTGGTCTTCATTGCGGTATGAATGTAGAGTTGTTTAGATCAGGATGCATTTAGTTTTCGAAAACGTTTTTCAGTTACCACTTTTCAATGAGTCATTTATAGATAGATAAAATCTGCTATACTTTTTAAAATAGTATATGAGGTTCACACACCTCAACTAACTATGAAAATTAAGTACTATCGACAAACTGACAAAAAGCAAATCAGTACGATTTCAGTTATCTAATAAATGATAAAACATTCATTCCTCTATAATGCATTCAAATCATACGTTGTTTTTGATATTGAATTAAAAGTGCAGTAAAAACATTGTCATTTATTGAACTTGTACGAAACAATATGTGAACAATTTATCAGCTCTATTTTCATTTCGATTGCTGACAAAATATTAGTTGATTTATTTGCTAAAGACAGTTCTTTGTCCTTCATATTCAAAAAAACATTTTGAGGAAAAGGTTTCCCAATTCGGAACTTAAACTCAAAGGCTCTAGGCCGACTTTATAGTAAGGTATTATTTTCGAAAAATTGACGTCTCCTAAAAGAAAGAAAAGTTTAACTCAAAGTCTGTCAGAATAAGCTTTTTCTCCCGCGGACTTCGCACTTATTTTTCAAATACCACCGAAAGAAATATCTGAATTCTGATCTATGATATTTTACACTTAGCATAAGATATTTTTCTTAATTTATTGTTTCTCTTATCAATTTTTCTGTCGTTTAAATAGTAACATGGGATATTCGTCGACAAGATTCATGTACTGATTATTTTCCGAATCAAAATTATGAGTCCGAATGTCAATTGGATCTTGACAACTATCATGATAAAACATTATTCTCGAACGTTAATGAGCAAAAGGCTTAAACCATCAATTTACGAATATTCATAAATACTGGATGTATTTAATGGGAAGAGACTCACAATATAAACTATAATAAAGCAGCTTTGATTAAAAAAAAATTGATTTTTTAGCAATAAAAAATTTTTCTTGATGTTTTGATCTATTAGAAGGGTGTGGGTGGGTCGGATGTGGATGTGAGGTGTGGGTAATCTACTTACTATCTACATCCACACCCTCAAGTGAGTTCGTGAATAAGATGTCGCACGTATCGTAAGCATATAGGAGTAAATTTGATGCAGGTGTTTCATTAAGTATGTTATTGGTTGAATTTCTCAACTAATGACGCTCATAGAAACTGTAATTTCGAATCAGTAGAAAAAGACTACGAAGAATTGTTTATAATTAATCGTTTGAATATTTTTCATTAAATATGGATTTTCAACATAGAGCTGGCGGTGATGGTGTTGCCAGTGGATCGGAATCGAATCGCGATCGACGCGAACGACTCCGTCAATTGGCTCTTGAAACAATTAATCTTGCTAAAAATCCTTATTCTATGAGAAATTGTGTTGGAACTTATGAATGTAGATTTTGTTTAACTTCACATAATAATGAAAGTTCATATTTGGCACATACACAAGGAAAAAAGCATCAATCGAATTTGTGAGATTTTATTTTTATAAAAAAACTCAATATTTTTAATAGAAAGTTCGATCAAAGTATTTCGTAAGAATTAGTATAGGAAAGAGTTGTTCATCATGAGATTATTCAAGCTATCAATCAAACTTTTCGACTCAATAAAATATATGATTTACATACTGACAGATTACAGACGTAAGATAAGTAAATTAACTATGCTCGGAAAATATTTGACATTAGAATAGTAATAAATTGATCAATATCAAAAATTTATCCATATCCAATACTGTCTAATATATTATCAGAATTAAAAACATTTTATAAGCTTTACATTTCATAATACTAAACATTGATGATTATAGAGCTCGACGTGCTGTTCGTAAAAATCAACAATCATCTGATATAGTTCAATCAATAAAACGTCATTCTGAAGTTCGTAAATTTATTAAAATAGGTCGTCCTGGTTATAATGGTAAATCAACAAAGTTTTTAATAATATATTTATTTTATTCTTATTATTTTTTTTTCTTCTAGTAACAAAACAGCGTGATCCAAGTGTAGTTTTAATACCATAAAATATTCAAATGATTCATTTATTTTTACTAGATACAAAACAAAAATCACTATAGAATTGCCAAAAATCTATTCAAAATCGTTAAACATATATGTTTTAGATCTTACACGGTTTTTAATAAATTCCAGAGTAATATTTTTTTATTTTTGATTAAAATAAGAATCATACAAAAAGCTGTTGGAAATGAATTATTTGATCAATATTTGAAAAGAAAAAGTATAATTGAAAGAAATAAAGAAGTGCTTATACCGATTGAACTCGACGAATTATCGAAAACAGTTGTAGTTGTTTGTTTGGTGGCTGTTGTTTGTGTTGGTAATGTAGTTGGTAGTGTTGTTGTTAGTGTTGTCGGTGATGTTGGAGTATACGGAATAGTCGTATTGATCCATTCCAAGTAAGAAGTTACTCGAGTATAAACACCAGGATAATCCGGTACAGCACAATCTCTACCGTAACTGATTATACCGACCAATTCCCATGTTTGATTCGCATTAAACATCATCAATGGACCACCCGAATCTCCTTGACATGTATCTAGAACAAATTTGTATTAATATCATCTTTTTTTAGCAATAGTTAAGTGTTTTGCAACTTCGCTACCTCTGATACTAGATTTTTTTAATAACCTAGATGTTGACGTAAATAACTTACCTTTTCCGCCTCCAGGCATTATTCCAGCACATAATTGAACTGTTGGATCTTCAATAATATGTTGACAATATGTTGTTTGTGCTCCCACTGCTTGAATCGTAACCTGTTGTAGAGTTGTTGAACTGGGTCCTTCCGACCATTTATCACCCCAACCCGCTGCTAACAGTGAAGTACCTGCTATAGGATATTCTCCTGATGTTGCAACAGTACTAGGTAAACAGATTTTGGATAAGTTATCGTTTGATAGATCTAATGCACGATCTAATTTTAATAAAGCAATATCATTTCTGTTTCGTTGGTCGTCGTAATACGGATGTACATGAATTTCTGATGCTGATCTAACTACACCGTCGAAGACATGTAATGAACCAGCATACACCGATATATCCGACGGATTTCGGACGAAATCAACACAGTGAGCTGCTGTTATAATGTATGAATCGTCAATGATAGTACCACCACATTGATAATAACCTTCATTTGCCTGAATCTATAAAGACACAGTAAATTCAATGAAAATAAAACGATTCTTACCTTTATAGATACAGCCCAAGATAGAGTATTGCGTTCGGCATTTTCTCCGTTAACAATACGAGCATTGGCTACGACAGGAAACTGAGAGCAGCCACATGGAGCTTTTGAATCACACGAATACTCCGTTTGGTACGTGATTCGACAAAATAAAAATAAATAACAAAGACGAAAAACCAAAGCGTGCATCATATTGCTACCAACTGAAATAGTAATGAAAACTACACGACTTAAATAGATATCTCATATCAGTATTGTTATTGCATAAAAGTAGACAAAATTCCCACAAAGATAAGTAAGGAGTCATGATTCAACGGACAGACGTTAAAGATACACCTACCTTATAATAATATTTTCTACGAATATCATCTCGTTGACTCACAACGGAAGTCATGTTTTTCATAAAAGATAAGCGGTTATTCGTCAACACATCAACTTGGTTTTTTCCTTTTTTTAAATCTTCAACAACCTGGGAATAGTCGTTCTTATCATATAGTTTTCGCTGAAAATGGATTGTATTGTTTCATATGGGCTGACAAATAACTCTCATATCAGTCTAGAACCTGACGGGTGGGTTTGGGTGTATCATCTTTAGTCACACCCACACTCTTAAGATGGTTTTTGAGAAAGAAACAAGCAGTTTAATTAGTCTTCCAATCGGAGTCCGATATTAACTTCGAAAAACTCTTCTTTTAGTTCCGACTCCGAGGGTGTGGGTGCGAATATAAATAGAAGACATCCACACTCTCCCAAAATTTGTGAAAGTTATTTTGCAAAACGTTTATCCGATAGTTTTGAAAAAAACTTACCAGGCAAGTGGTTAATAAATTTATCTTTCTTCGTAAAACCTTCAGTCATTAAAACAATTGGATGAAAGAAACAGGAGATATTCGAAAACGAAAGTCAGTCGATGAATGTGAGTCTGACAACGAACACGAATGTGAACAACAGACACCTTCTACATCGAAGAAATATGGAATCAAAAATAATAACATCGTCTCAAGTAAAGATGAACTCAGAGAGTGATCAAAACTTATTTATGTATCTTATGAACATTATTTTTCATGATATGTAAACACGTGTATTCTAGTTTTATTTTTACGTAAGATTATGTTGAATAAAAAAGAGTTACATCTCAATATGAAATAATTAGCTAAGTTCCAAAAAGTATTATCCCGCTCCGATTCCGTTAAAATAGGGTTCGGGACTGGGTTCAAGAAAAAAATAGAAACCGGAGCAGCCACGCCGCACCCTAACTCACACCCACACCCTTCACTCACAAAGAAAGTCTTTTTTATGTACACAGTGAAAGTCATGTTTTTCATAAAAGATAAGCGGTTATTCGTCAACACATCAACTTGTTTTTTTCTTTTTTTTAAATCTTCGACTACTGGGAATAGTCGTTCTTATCATATAG